GGCCAGAGGCTACGCGGCAGCCGCAGCCCCGGCAAGGAGCCCTCGGGGCTGCCGCCGGCGGGAGGAGTCGGGACCCCCGAGGCGGGGCGCAGCGGCAGCCTCCCGGGCTGCCGGCAGGTTCAGTCGACACCACCTAGAGTTTGATAACTTGGTTTTAACCAAGTAAAATAAAAAGTAAGGATGCAACCGGCCGTGGAGGTACAAAATTCTGAATTCAAATAAATAACAGCACTTGAACGAAAAAAAAAAAAAAACAAACAACCAACCAAAAACCAAACAAAAAAATATTGAGCACTCAAGTATTGCTACAAATATCTTAATGGCAATAATTGCTATTAATAATTTGTCAGCCTACTCCATACGCACAGTTGAAAGAACTCCAGAAGAGCCATGCATGGGACAGACACTCCTGGGAGTGAAGAGCTGCACAGTGAAACTCTGGGATGTACTTCTCAACACGTTGGTTTGAACCTAATGGGAGTTTCATGAGAAGGTGGAGAAAGGAAGGATGGGGACTGGAAACCAGAGGAGGGGAAGAGGTAGCTTGTCCTTCATCTCTGGTGCGCAGTAGTTTATTTGGCGTTCTGAATAGGATGCACGGGAAAGTGAAATGCAGCCATCAAATCCAAAGCGGCTCATGTATTCTTTTATCTCTAAACTCCTGAGAAAGCCTCCTTTGTAACAGTGTGACTTCATGGTGATGTAACAAAAAGTGTTGCTCCATCTGTGATATGTGCTCATATGCATGGATACGGAGGGAGGAGGAGGGAAGAGATGGGAATCGGGGTTCATTTTATGGGTGAGTTTGTCTGCTGTGGCTCTAAAAGACACCACAATGGATGTATTAATGGCATGATTAGAATGACTGTTGTAAAACAGTGGAACGCCCTTTGTAAGGGGAACCTGCTCTTACCACAGCTTCTTATTCGGGCGGTTAATTAAATGTTTATTTATCTTCTGGAGGACCGTAAAAAGTGTTGTATTAGTAGCACTGAAACTGGGTTTCTAAACTTTCTTTCAATGCAATCTGCTGCTCCACTGTGTAGAGAGAATGCTGAGGTTTGTATATACTGAATGAACTAAAAGTAATAATATCTCACAGTGGTACATGATCTGCAATAAAATACTGTGGTTCCCAGGATGTGTGACTAACTTTCACAAAAACGCAATAATTATTGCAGTGAATTCTTCTGCTCATAATACATATGGAGCTTAATTATACTCAAAAAAGCAATTTTAAATGTTCCCACAATACTATAAAATTACAAAATTAGCTCAGCATGCTGGACAGATGTTTAATATCAGTAATATTTTAATAATTTAATTCTTGTAAAATGTGAATTGCTATTGAAAATCTACTGTTGAGTGTACATCAAATAATACTCGTATTGGTATTTCTTATGATGTCTTTAAGCAGAAATATTTTAAAAAGCAATAATGGGAAACCTGAAAAGCTCAGAGTTTCTAACCTGAGGTAGATCTTTCAATGCTTTTTATTATGCTTGGTATAGTAGCAATTATTTTCACATTAATCAGTAAACAGGAACCCACAACAATCATTAAGTTTGATCAGCAAGCATTTGATTTCTCTATAGATAGGAAAAATAAACCAACCCACCAACCCGTATTTGGGGTAAAAAGCTGCCCTATACAAATGCTACTTTATATTTTTTATTGTTAGGTGGGGATAACATAATTATATATGTGATGGGATCATCTAATCTAGAGTAATCAAATAATTCTCTGTATGACCTCAGTAATATTACGGAAACTTGAATTTCTATTCTGTGATAGAGATGCTAAATGAAGAGTTAGCTGGCAATGCTCTACTTTACTTCTGGGAACACATAAGGAATACGGCTGCATTGAAATAAAAAATGGATTCTGGAGAGGTTGTCAGATAAACCCAATACAAGCCCCATGGGTGTCTGCACTCAGACCCCACTGAATGTGATGAATGGGCCCACAATAAAACTGTCGGTTTCTTTGAAGTGGCTCAAATACGTGTTATGTGAGCCAAAGCACAGGAAGCCCATTATCTTCGCACTAGGAGGAACTAACAGCAATGTTTTTCTTTTGTCATGTATGTTCAATACTGTTCTTTGTAACGCCACATTAAGAGGATAACTTGAGATGGGTGTAGAGTAAACCGGTATTGTGCAGTCTTTTTGAATACAGTCTGCTAAGGCAACTCAAGCCATTCCTTGGGAATTTCTTGACAGAAAATCATTATTTGTTTTGAATCTGCAGGAGTGGCTGTCTGTTGGTTGTCTATCATGCCCAAATGGGATAGAAGATGTTGATATCACACTTGTTTGTAAGTGGGTCCTAAGCCTGGCTTTCAGCTCAGGATTGCAATTCAGCAGTGTGCTTTTTAACCTTTTAATGAGTTGGAGTCCTACTGAATAATCACAGTTAAATGGAAACTAAATGCATGCATAAAGCTGCACTTGTGCTTAGAGGGACGAACTGCATGCTTAACATTAAGCACCCAGTTCTTTGCTTTATTAGTCTGGTTAAATATAATGGCACCTATTATCCCCGTGTCATAAAAAAAATGGCACAAAATAAAATGGCACAGAAAATGAACTGGTATCAAGATAAGTTTTTATCCACCAAAAGAGAGCTTCCATGCCTAAATAATGGAGACTGGCCTCTTTTAGCAGCTTTCCATCATTGCCTAGTTCTGGAAGCACCTGAAGCTTAGGCTCAGTGGAGGCCTCTACTACCTGCAGACAGGTGCCCCCACTGATCTGCGATGGAGGTTGCTTCATCTTCACAGAATCACAGAATCATTCAGGTTGGAAAAGACCCTTGGGATAATAGAGTCCAACCATCAGCTCTACTCTACAAAGTTCTCCACTACACCATATCCCCCAACATCTCATCCAAATGACCCTTAAACACATCCAGGGATGGTGACGCCACCACCTCCCTGGGCAGCCTATTCCACTGTCTGAGCACTCTTTCTGTGAAAAATTGTATCCTAATGTCCAGTCTGAACATCCCCTGTTGCCGTTTAAAGCCATTCCCTCCTGTTGTATTGATAATTACCTGTGAGAAGAGACCAGCACCAACCTCTCTACAATGTCCTTTCAGGTAGTTGTACAGAGTGATGAGGTCTCCCCTCAGCCTTCTCTTCCTCTAACTGAACAGTCCCAGCTCCTTCAATCTCTCCTCACAGGATTTGGTCTCCAGGCCCTTCACCAGCTTCGTTCCCCTCCTCTGCACTTGCTCCAGCACCTCGATATCTCTCTTGTATTGAGGTGCCCAAAACTGGACACAACACTCCAGGTGCACCCTCAGCAGTGCAGAGTACAGGGGGACTATCACCTCCCTACTTCTGCTGATCACACTATTTCTAATACAATCCAGGATGCCGTTGGCTTTCTTGGCCACCCGGGCACACTGCTGGCTCATGTCCAGCTGCTTGTCAATTAGAACCCCCAGATCCTTCTCTCCCAGACAGCTCCAGCCACACCTCCCCAAGCCTGTAGCCATGCAGGGGGTTGTTGTGGCCCAAGTGCAGGACCTGACACTTGGCCTTGTTGAAGCTCATCCCGTTAACGTTGGCCCACCGATCCAATCTATCAAAGTCTCTCTGTAGTGCCTCAACTAGGGTAGGAGGTGGGTGACTTTCTCAGATCCTCCTGACTGCCTGATAGTTTATGTTTAGCATGAAGAGTAGCAAGCAGGATGTAAAGTCTGGGAGTTTAGAAGGATGGATTAAAGAAAGTCTGGGTTTATTGCTCAGGGGTGTGGTGCTAAGTCTGGGGAGATGTGTGTCATATATAAAGCTTCTTCCTCACTTTTTATATTGGTGTTTTTTTTTTTTTTTTTTTTTTTTTTTTTTTTTTTTTTTTTTTTTTTTTTTAATTAATGCAAAGTCTGTTTAATCTAAAAAGCGTATTTTGAAAAATTAAGAAATAGGCATGATGAATCACTCTAGCATTCTTTCCTACAGTCACCATGTCCAGTCTTCAGACTTAACAAAGCAGATTTTCCATATCGGTGTTTGTTGCAGCTTTGCCAGACCTAGGAGGCCACAGACTACTGCTTGCAGCCCCACACTCCAAGGACATCACACTGCCAGTGGACACAGCTTGGCTCTGACTGCAGAGGGTAGCTACTTTTTTTAAATCTCTGGAGAGTGTTCAAGGGGAAAGGGCTGTATGGCAGACATCTGACATATTTTATATTAGTTAGCTGCTTCTTAGAGCTTACCCCCAAGCAACCATAGTTGAACTCAGCATTTCTCTTTCGAACATCTCTAGTTTGCTAGCTTATGCCATTTTTTATTTCCTCTACACAAACTCACAACAATTCTTCTTTTTAGAGTAATTATCACATCCATATCTCCCAGGGAGTTGCACTGGTATCACCTATGAGGTGATTAACTTTCAGCACTATTTTATTAGTAAAAGAGTCATAGACATTTGATGTTGGTATGTCTAATCTTAGGGTTTGAGTTCTGGCCTTAGAGATGTGGCCTTAGAAGTTGAACCTTTGTCCTCCTTGGAGGCTCCACAACATTGAATATTTCCATACCCTGGTACAGAGCCCTTGCCTCCATCTCCTCCTTTCTCCAACTCTGCCTGCTCGTCCCAGCTGCTTCTTGGGCCCACTTCTAGCTAATGCTCAGTGTTTAAAATCAGATAGTATTTGTTCCTTTTTTGTTGTCTTATTTCTTTTTAATGCATGACTGATGATCAGTCCTTCAAACATGATCACTTCAAGGGTTGCATTTAAACAGTTCTCATTTAGTTTGAAAGCATGCATGCTTAATTAAAGACTACTTACTGCAGGTAGTTTTGGTGACAGATATGCTTGGCTCTTCATGGGACTAAGTTTGTTGGGATGTGCAAATCTGGAAGTGCACGAAGTTTGTTGGGATGTGCAAATCTGGAAGTGCACAAACACGTTAGAGTCTTTTTCCCTGCTAGAAGCAGTTCTCGATAGAGGGCGTTTGTGAGATGCGTGGAGTTCCTCATTCCTACGCAGGCTGATTTTGCATCCCTATGTTTGGGAATTACTAACGAAGCAAATTTGCCTCTCGCATTTCCAAGTTGTTGCAGTTCCTGCCCTGTGGTGTTGCACTTCCAGATAGGCTTCATCTGTGCTGGCTGATGTCAGCCTGCGCACAGTTTCTTTCCCACTAAGATTTACCTGTGGTGCTTTCTGCTCTTGTGCCAAGTACTGTGTCACAGCTGCACGATGAGATTGTCTCTAGACTGTAATCTGAAATAACATCCAAAGAGTCGGGTGGATTCTTTTGTTTGAAAAGAGAATGATGAACTGTTTGTTTATGGGAATCTGAATTCCGGCTGGTTTATGTCAGGGTCCGTGGATCGTTTCCCTCTCCTTTTCCCCCTGCAGGAAATTATATTCATGCTGTTTGAGTGTATTCCCTTGTCTTGACACAGACATCCGTTGAATGACATTAGATGCATAATCTAACTTTCTGCTTCCTTTGAGCTGAGACACTCACAGTCTCCAAAGCTTATTTCCTTGCTGTTCAGAGTTCTGAAAATACAGAGTAGATAAAAGCAAGTACTGGTAAGAATCAGGAACATAAATTCCCACTGAATATGTTCCTAATTCCTCAACCTTAGGAATTCCATCCTGTGACTAAAGGACAGGTAAAACATACTAGGATTGAAGAAATTCTCTTGGAGGGCAGTGGTAGGAGTGATGGTATTATGCAACAAAAAGCAAGGTGTCTGAACTCTCTCCATGCAAACTGCAAGAAGTTTATGCCAGTAGAAGCTTTTAAAGTGTTCCGCTGATATTCATGCAAAAAGACTCAGCTTCCTGTTGACCCAAATAAATCACTATTAAAGACATGTTGACTTTAAACTATTCTGCCAATGGGAATCATATTGATTTTTCATATATAAACCCATTTTCAAATAAATTAGTGAAAGGGTCATACTCTGGGGTCATAGTGTTAAAAACACATATTGAATCCAATCAATGGGAACCACAAAGGTGGATTTGGACTGTTTGCAGAAACCTGAATGTTGATTTTAGAAAAGTTCATGTATGCTCGGCAAAGTAGAGGGTCCCAGCAATTGTGATAAATATCCAGGCCAACAGTAAGGCTGCCTTGGAGGGAATGTAGTTGAATTTAACATCATGTGGAGGAAGTATGATCAGTGACAAGAATCACTTCCAGATGAACTCTGTGACAACTCCAATCAGCTACCTAGTGGTAAAGCTGAAGTCTCTATCCTGATTGTTTTGGAGGACTAGCACTGGCTGGGTTTCCTAATAAACTAATCAGTATTATATAAATCAGTAATTTACACAACTGTAACACATTTATAAATTTAGAAAGTGAGAAGAGTCATGAAGATCAGTTGATAGATACAGAGATGTTTAACTTTTAAGAATCAATATTACTTTTTGTTTGATAAACTTATTAAAAAGTTATTTAAGATGAATTGCTTATGTCTTCTAAATTTATTTCCTACACTGGACAGCATGCCATGGACCAGGCTATATATTACTGCACACGTGCCATGCTTTGCTTCTGCCATTTCAGTGGTCAAACTCTTTATTCCGCTTCAGCAAGTCCTCCATGCGTTCATTTGCTTTCTCCATATCCCTGTCATAAACCCATAGGGCTTCAAGAGAACTGTCTTAATAATATGAACAAGCAAGTTCACTGCATGCTCATTTATCCTCCATTTTGAGAAGAAGAATCAGTCTGCAGAATATGTTACTGACAAATTCTGTTATTCCTCTGCCTTAGCTATCAAAACTTCAGTCCAGTAGGTCTGACTCTCTTCCTGCATATTTGCACTGCTACCTACATTTATGGCTTCTGCTGGGAACAGGCGGCGTGGTTTGGAAAGCCTATACATGTGCAGACACTAGGAAGTAAAAGCAAGGAACACTAGGGACAAATGCTACACTTTGAAGAGGCAAACAACGTTTATTCTCCCACTGTGTTATGTCATTTGCATAGTAAGACACAGATCAAACTCATCACCTGTTCCCATTTCCATAGTCAAGACTACTGGGCAATGCAACTCCGCGAATCAAACCCTAAAACTTTAAAGGCACCTGATGACTTTGAGCAGGATCTATTCAGAACCCACAGCTGGATGACAGGAACAAAATCTCTTCATCTCCAAGTCCTTCGGTCCCCGTCACCCGGCATTTCAAACCGCCCTGTTTTCACCTGGGTGAGACGCTGGCAGATGGGTTTCCCGGAGGCGATCCCACCCTTCCCCCGACGTGGCGGACAGCTCCCTGCTTTGCGGGCAGCGCCTCTCGGGGGGCTGCTTGCGGAGGGCGAATGCGGAGGCGGGGGGAGAGCCCCCCTCGCCCCCGCCTCCCTCCCAACCGTACCCACCACTCCCTCGACGGCTGGCGCCCCGCGGGACAGCGGCGGCTCCGGGATCCGCGTCTCTTCTCCGCGCAAAATCCGCCTCGGCGTCTCGGGGCTGGGGCGAGGGCACCGGCGCTCGCAGGAGGAGAGGCGGGGCGGCTCCTCCCAGCACCAGGTATAAATCC